AAGCTCAGGCTTCAATCTGCAGCACTTGACAGAGTAAAACAGTGTCTTTTCTCCCATGCTAAACAGCAGTTTCCTGGTGACCTAGCCTAACGTAGGAGCACTTTTCCACTTCTGCTTTGAAATGCCACAGTCATGCGCATAAGCAACCCTCCCCACACACACACACACACCCCACCTCCCACCCCCAATCTTCATTTGGCAAGCGCTGCCGCAGCCAGCCTCTGATCTCCGCACATCAAAAGGCTGGTTTGTAAGATAAGGTAATGTTTGAAGTCTGCGCAGCTGCATTCCCCAGCGTCCAAGCAAATCCATAAATAAGATATAAGCAAAAATCCCCCCTCCACCACTCTTTCTCTTCCCACCCAACCGCCTCCTCCCCCGTTGCTTTTTTCCCTTTTCTATTCTTTCCTTTATCTGTAAATGAGATTCAAATGTTTATGGGTCCTTTTAAGTGACCTAAAGAGAGGCAGATATTCTGATCAAGGACAGAGCAGGCAGGAAATGAGAAGGGGAGGGGTCATCGCTGTGACCAGGGCTTTGTCATTGCACTGGGTCAAAGTACAGCAGAATAGGACTATATTGGCGTCTGTTCTTTTGAAGCTTGGCCATCTAGAGATATGCCAGAGCAGAGGGCTCCCTGTTATAAAGAAAAACTCTTTATAGCTGCCATATTCATGTGTGGCCCAGCCCACTGGTCGCACACTAAACATCAGTGTCTCAGTCTTTAACTATCTTTATCTCCGTCATCTTGCTCGCTGTTTCACTGACATCATCCGCTCAGGCCTTGACGCCTCCCATCTGTCCAAAAACCAGCTGACCTGAAATCTCCTGGCCTTGAGCTGTGCACCGGGCTATGACTTCATCACACCTTGTCACTCGACAGACATACGATTACGCCAAGCTATCCTTTAGTTGAACGAGGCCCTCAGCATGTACACAGATAAGCACTAAGCATGTGAGGACGGCTGCGTCAAGTACATTGACAATCTACGCAATAATGACACATTTGCAAATAAAAAGGCTACATAATTTAAGTTTCATTGAGATCTTTGAAATAATTTGGGCTTAGGATCAACAACTGATGCACTGAACATAAAGTCTCCGTACTCTTTACAATGCATCAACTCGCAAAGTCCTCCAGTGTTCACAGCAAATGTTATTTCAGAATATATAGGGAGGGGACCTGGCACTGACTCATGCCAAATCCTGGCAGCTCCAGAGTCTTTAAGTGCTTTCAAGGGGCCACAATTCACCAGGATTTCCACTGTAAAGACTCTCAACAGTCAGAAGAGCGAAGGTGCGACTTTATTCGTTTCATTTCTTTATTTAGTTCCATTTCCATAGCACCTTTATTTCATATTCCTGAAACATGCTTCTGTGCTGACATTCTCATTTATTTGGTTAATATCCACTTACACACTGCTGTCAGTCACGGACATGGCGTCGTCGGTCAAAGCGTCACTGGACACCTCACTGTCATTGGTGCTGCTGACAGGGGCAAAAGAGCCCATGTGGCAGGGGTTGAACGAGTCTCCTCTTTTGTATGATCTGAGGAGGTTACACAAGCAGAGGTCAGATTAATACTAATGCAGCACCATGAAACAGCATCCAACAGGTGACTGACATTTAATTCCCCTTTCTTGTGTGTATTTCATGTGTGTTGCTGATCTAAAATGAAGAAAGAGCGAGTGCATGTATGTGACCTTGTCTCCTACTAATAACAACGACAGCCTGTAATGAATGAATGTGACTGGCTGGTCTGGGGTCAGGGAACCTCCTTCTCTGAACTACAAGTTCATCTGCATTGAGGAAAACTTTGTTTTCTTCCTTATGCCTTCTTATGCAGCCCACTTCTCTCTTTCCATTTGTGTCTCCCGCTGTGTGTGTGCATTCTTGCCATGGTACAGGAGAAGAAAGGGGGGGGGTTACCAAAAGAAAAAAAGTATAGAGCGGAAGCATGAGAGTGTGTCAGAGAGGGAAAGAAAGGGGAGAGGAAAAAAAGGGGGGAGAGACCCAGCATGACTAAAGCTGTAGGCCCCCAGCACCGGGTTGACCTTCAGAGGGGCTTGCAAAGAGTCAGGTATTTAACACAGCTGGCCTTGCATTCTTCCCTCCCTGCCTCTCTCTCACTCCCTCATTTATACTTTCTCCTCCCTCCCTTTCTTTCATGAGAAGCCCCCCACCCACCCCTCTGTCCTTCCTTTCCGCTCTCTTTCCCCTTCACTTTCGCTCAAAAGCATTGCCTCGTCGTCCCCATCCCTCAGTTTATGAAAAAGAAACAAAATAAAAGATAAGAGTGGTGAAGGCGGAGGGGAAAGCAGCAAAGGAGGGAATCAGACTAGAATTGGCGCAAACAAGAAAAGAGGGAAGAAGAGAGTGAGAGGGTTGGTTGGGGTCGGGGTGTTGATTTTCTGGTGTAGCTGCTGCCATTCAGGGTTTGTTTTCTTTCTCTCTTTTTTTTAAAGAAAACCTGAGATGTGAAGAGGTGAGGAGAGGGAAGCGGAAAAAGGAGAAATGAGTTCCACATGTTTAGAATCTGTGGGGTGACAATGGGAGGGGAGAAAGATGGCTTTTCTACCTGCTCAGCTGACAAGCATCACTCAAAAAAGAAAGTCTGTGATTGGAATTATCATCCCAACAACACACCAATGTTAATCCTTGTCTTTCAGTTTCAGTTGCTGTCATTCTAATAGCAACAGGAGCATCAGCCAATGATCCAATGTTGAGACTCCTGAAATATCTCCTGTATCATAAGTTTAACTGGTTATTTATGATCATTTCTGTTTCATGGGTTTATAAACCCTCCAGGACAACTTGTATTTGTTTGGGATCAATCAGATCTTTTTTCTCTTAATTTCACAGGTAAAAAGAAATTCCAATTCCAGAAAGTGCCATCTATAGATCTGCTTAAGATTCTCTGCCAAAGGCGAGAGGACAGTGTGATTGTAAACAGGAGGAGGCATAGCATAGCAATGTCATCATCTATTATTTGCTGGCTGGGGTCAGAGCCAGTCGTGCTCTGAACTTTTCCTGTGGAAGACGATCCCTCATTCTGCAGAACTATTTCAAAGCCCTGGAAATCCAGGCGAGCGCCAGCAGAGGGCTGCCGCTGGATATGGTGACAGGGGCCACAGAGAGCCAGGGAGGGAGAGAGAGACACAGAGATCTCTGCAAACTTAGCAGAAACTCAGGGGTGAAGAGGAGAAAATGTGTTTCCCACATTTACACATGCATGACAGAAAATGTATGTGTTGTGCATTATTTACATACGGCATGCCCTGGATCTGAAGCTGGATAGAGATTAAAAAGGTGTTGCAGTCATACCTGTATCCCCCCTCCATCACCTCCACCGCCCTCATGGACACGGGGGCCCTGTGCACCTTCGCTGACAGTCCAACCAGCGCTTTGGCTTTGAAATCACAACTCCACTCCTCCTCTTCATTGAGCGTGGGCAGGTATCCACACACAACTTTCAGGTCGCCCAGCCCGTTTGAGTTGACGTGGTTGGGGTTTTCTCCTCCAGTCCTCACGTACTCGAGGTAAATGTCAGAGGTCAAAAACATCTGGTACGCGTTCTCCTCCATGTTGGTCTGGATCTCGGTCTGCGCCTGGTCAAACATGGCAGAGTCTATGTGCTGCTTCTTGATATTATCCCGTATGTAGGTTTTAGTCGCGGGCTTCAGCTGTTTGGCGACAATGCTGTTGTTCTCGATGTAGCGCTTGTAAATTGCTTTGGCGACTCTCTGCGTTTTGGTATCCTTGAGGTCCATTTGCCTGAAGCCATTACAGGCGAACCAGAAGTCTAACGTGTCGACGCATTTCTGCCGCTCCAGGAATGTCCTGAAGAGAAGAGCACCGTCCTGGTCCCCGAGGAGAGAGTGCAAAGACTTTGTCCACCGGGAGAGCGGCGAATCCGGGGATGCACTCCCCTCGGGCTCCCCAAGACCATCCTCGTTCCTCCTCGCCGAGGAGCCCGGAGAGGCGAAGAGAACCGACCTGGGGGGTTCCGCGGTTTTCATCACTGCGAGTTTGCCGGGGTAGCAGGGCGCCTCGCCCTCCTCCCCAGGCACCGGGGGTCGAGGGGCATCTTCTCGGAAACTACTGGCGATGTGGTCCATAAGCGCCCGGCTCATGGCTCTGACGGCTCAAGCCTGTGTGTTGTTCGCCTCCTCTGAGCTTCTACTGTAATCTCCTCACTCTCTTATGTCAGCGGGGGAGCTTCTCTCCGGCTGCCCGTCTTCTCCCTGGAACACAAAGTATTGATCTAATCAAAACCAGATCCGCCCCAACTTCAAAGCGGCTGAAGCGCAGTAAGAGTCTCCTCAGTCCCCCCACTGACTTTTACAGAAATAAAAGAGACGATGCTAGTTCACAGAAAAACCAGAGAAAACGCTGCGGCAGCATTACGTAAACAGTGATGCTTTATATCTCAACGTGGAGTGGGATTTTTGTACCGAGGTGCTAATGGCTGGGAAGCGATTTACCAGTGATTCCCCCACATGAGCTGGCGAGAGGAAAACGATGTCTCCGCTGAAATCTCGTCGCCTCCCTTTGCCTTAACTCGGGTAAAAGTAGTTATTACACGTGTGTCAAGCAGGGTTGTGAATTGAACGCCATTAAGAAGTCATTTATCCTGAATACCGGAGCATTACGCACGGATTGCGCGGACGCTTCCGGATCCATCACGGCTGCTGTCAGGGTTACAGCCCGGCTGAGTGGCTGCTGCAAAGCGCAAACACATGTCTGTCTTCTCCCATCCCTGCTGACATTTTCCTTATTTTATTCACCATGTCCGATCAGTCACTTCCACGCGTCTCTAACCTACATCTCATCACAAGGGACCGGGCGTCACATCGAGCCTGTCGGTGATGAGAACCTGTAGGACACCGGACGAAACTCGAGGAGATCGAAAAACGTGACTAAAATTGTTAATTGAGCCAAGTAGCTGCTGCTGCTGGCGTGTGTGTGTGAGCTACAACTTATGGTGCTTAAATGCGCTCAGATGTTCCAAACATCCAGATGTTGTGCCAAATACGCAGAGATTATGAGCAGTTTGTTTCAGACGATCAACGCAACGATGTATCAGCTGATGAAGCAGATGTCAAAGATAACAACTGATTACAGGTTAAACTTGTCAAAAATGAACCAGCTACAGCTCAAAACCTCCCTAAAACCAACAGCCTGGACCGATCCTCGTAAAATAAGCAACCATGCATATTTATATTCCATAAATGTACATTACAACCGCACTCAAAGTCACATAAAAAGTTTATTTAACGTTACATTTAGGGCGAAGAGAGAGTAACCTCGTTACCGTCCAACTCCATGTACACAGCACAGGTCTCAGATCTTGTGGGGGAGGAATTCCACACACACACAAAAAAGAAGAAAGCAGCAMTTGAGAAAAAACTTCTACTTTTAAGTCATGAAATCGAAACAACCGGATTAAAAAAAGTGAAATGAAGCGAAAGATAAAGAAACGACTCGACGTGTTTTGGGTTCTTTTGGTGGGGGTCTTTAAACGCAACAAAAGCGACTCGTTTCCCACAGAACAGAACTTCAAAAGCGAGTCAACAGCACATCAAAGGCAACTCCAGCGGGGGCCAGTTTGAGGAGCGCGCGCATACACACACACACACACGCACACACACACACATAGGCTTGAAACTTACCATCGATCCGCGGGTCCTCTCCTCAAATTAAAAACTCCTGTCGCGGTTTGTTTCGTATCCGAAAGTGCGTATAAATCCACAGAGCTCCGTCTCCACAGCGCGTCCACATACAGTCCGTTCAGGCTCGAGTCGGTCTCACGGAGAGAAAAACGCACTCGAGAGGAAGAAGAAGAAGAAAAAAATAGCGCTTTTCTCCCTCCTCCCTTTCTCCACCTCCTCCTCCTCCTCCTCCGGTTGGTCTCAGGCTGCCATGCCGCACGGTGGCTCTCTTCTGCAGGGGACTCCAACACCAACTGAACCGAGAGGCTGGAGCAGCGCACTTCAAAGCAAAGAACCGACTGCCGGGTCCCGACAGCAGCATAAAAAACAATTACAGCCTCTCGCGCCTCAGAAATACAATAAAACAAACCGTACAGTTACCGGCGAATGCTATTCACATCGCAGTCAATGTGAATGAATTGTAATCCAAAGGTTTTTAGTTTTTTTTTATTTCCAGCCATGCGCGTCCCTTTTTTCTGTCACGTATCTCTCCATTCGTTTCCCGGCTCGCGAAGTTGCCTCGTGAGGACCTTATCAAAGGCAAGCAATCTTGAGCCAACTCCCCGAGGCTTTGGAGCGTCAGAAGTAACTGATCTGCCGCCCTAATAGCATTATCGCTACAATCCCTCTGTTGCTACATAAACTTTAAAGACGCAGAGATCTTTTTTTCTTCTCTTTTCAAGAACCGCATAGTTTTTGAGATTAACCCACTGGAGTCCACAGTGCATGCAACCCAGCGTATATATCAAATAGCACGTTTCTATCCTTATATGCATTTTTTTGTGTGTGGTCACATTATAAGAAAACTAAATGATTTGAATCTCCTGAATGCACCAATGAAGCCACAGATCAGAGTCTGCTGCAGGATTCAAACACTTGCTTAAAGGGAACAAAAGTGCCCCCCCCATAGTTGAAAACAAGCTTTTACTTTTTCAATACACATTCAGCCTACATTTAGCGCATGCTGCAGTAGGAGGTCATAGCTGTGTTATCGCTCCACAGCTCCTACCAGTGGCAACAGAGGCCACATGCATATGCGCCAGATTCAAACATCTGCTCCTCAGTGAGGATAAGTTCTGTGAAGGATGTTATCATATCATTTATGAGATAGAAGTAGACTCCATTCTGCAGCTCTCACTGTGCTGCTCTGTGCTTTGTGTATACTCCTTAACTGCAGCGGTAGATAACACGAACAGGGGTGAAAAGCCCAGGCATTCAGTGTACCATACACACCCATTCACTGGTCAGACTGAGAGGAGTTGTTTGGACATTTTGGAGACTGCATTTCCTTTATTCGCACTGGAACCGGCTACAGTCAGTGATGCTGGTAGTGTTTATAGAACAGAGTCAATAGTGTTTTGGATTGGTCTTTAGTGTTTAAATGAGCCACCACAGAGGACTCTTGTACAAGTTGACTGGCCATATTCTTGAAAGAGAGACAGTAGGTGTCTGTGTGTCCTTGATGTCTCAGTGGACACAAATTCAAAAAGTACAGTGCAAAGACAGCAAACACTTTGATCAAGCACGTTTGCCTAAGGTGACGTGAAATGTTCTCCCTCTGTGCCTCGCTTCCCATCAAGGTTAATAAAAGAGGAAATTACTCTTGAAGAGGCCATGATGACTAAGGGATTAGTCATCATTCAGAGGCCACTTCTATCACCCTCAAATTTTGAGCGCTCACATCCCGCATGCGAAAAACACTTCACCACTGTCTGTACACCAAACTAACTGTCTCACCAAAAGAAGAGCAGCGTTAACTCCCAGTCCGGGGTAAGCTGAGACTGAGAGGTAGCTCATCTACATTGGGGCTCCATCAGAAGTTAAGGATAAATGGTTAAATGGTTAAATCAAATAATGTCAATGTAGTAGTACAACACAGGGCTATGTGGGCATGTTTGTTGAAAAAAAGGCTGGAGGCGGCTGATGCACAGTACATCTGACATCTGGAACCATGCCAGATGTGAGACAGTAATGAGTCAATAGTTAAAGCAAGTCTGCACAAACCCAATTTCTTATCTCATAAAAGCTCATCTACACAGTCCGGGTCCCTCTGCAGGTATACAGGTCATCTGGATAATATACTGAAAGCTGCCCAGACAATGTCAGCCTTTGTTAACTTTGGATGGCCGAGGCTGAACTCTGACAGTAAACACACCAGGGTGGAAACCATTACCATGGCAATGGTGTGGACCCCCTGCCATTACCAGAGGCCAGTTGGGCCATCACATCCCATTTTGTCAACCCCCTCTATGGTTCATGGGAGGTCCCCATAGCTCAGGTCTTCCCTTCTGCCCCTCAGGAGCTGACCCCAGGTCTGTGACTGGCCTCAGACCAGGGGTGTCCTTGGCTTCTGGCCCTATAAAAAGCCCTTGAAAGAGGGCTTCAGGGGGAAGAGGTTATGGGATGTAACTGTCCCTCTGTGTTGGAAGATATTATTACAGGGACAGGTCAAATTCAGCCAGACTACAAAGAGCACTATAAATAGAGAGGGGAGGGCACACATAAATCACCTGTGGACCCAATCAATTCTTTAATGTTGACTGCTTCCTTTTTGGATGTAAACTACATACAGAAAGCAGTTGAATTTGTTATAGTATCTAAAATTATATCTGATGAAAAACACCTACTTTTTAAAAAAGGACCAAGGAGGTTTTTATAACTAAGTTATATGGTCTCCTGAGCAACCTTGGCCTGTCATATCTGCAACTGGCCACCTCAGTAGCAGTCGTAAACACTCAGAGTGTGTGTGTCTACCGGTGCTGTCCTCTCTGTGCTGCAGCTCTGTGATCAGTAACTGTTCTCAATTACAGTATTGTGTGCTGTTCCTTTTCGGCTTGGGGTTAAACTCTTTGCAGACCCCTTTGAAGTACTCATCCCTTTATCTCAAGCCAGAGCCAAGAATTTGGGGGAGGACAATGGCAAATGAAACCAAGAGAGAAGCTTATGGCAATTATCAACCAGAGCCATGAGGAGGAAGTCGGCTCACACAGAGAGAGAAAGAGAGAGAGGGAGAGAGGACGTAGATAAAGAGAGCAGGAGACAGCCGATGTAGGACAGGGGGTTACTGTTTCAAGTTTGTTTGGTGTGTACACACCCCGGGCAACAAGTGACTGCCAAGAGAGGAAATGGAGGCTACCTCTTCAAAGTAGGTGACAACAGGGGGACAATGGCCTCTGAAGGCAGCGAGGGGCTGATGAGAGGAGCTGTGTGTGTGTTGGAGCGGGTGCAGAGGGTCAACACACAACATAAGCAAGGACCAAAGAGTGGAAGAAGAGGATGGTGGAGAACGGAGGGAGAAGTGCTGTTGTCAGCAGAATCAAATGGCACGCAGAAAGAGAGAGAGAGAGAGAGAGAGAGAGAGAGAGAGAGAGCTGGGGAAGATACAATTAAAGTGTGGAGTTAAGACAGGCTTTGAAGTTGGACATGGTGCATAATACCCTTAAAAGTTAAGGAAGGGCAACAATTTGCCAGTTTGTTATGGGGCTGTTTTGAAGGAGGGAGAGGAGGGGAAAAAAAGAAGAAGAGTGCAAGTGGTAGGGGGTTTGTTTTTGAAAGGGTTCAGTTTGAGGGGAATGAAGTTGGATTTCAAGCACCAGTTGGCCCCAGAAGGATGGATGTGTTCTTTTTTTTTTTGCAAAACAGAATGTAAAGTGGGAGTGGGAGCCGGCACTTACCTGTGCATTTTGATGATGGGGATGAGTGCGTGAAAGATGGAAGAAGCGAAAGAGAGAGTGGGACAGGGAGCAAGACAGGTGAAGACAAAAGACTACGAAGAAAGAATGAGATAGAAATAGGAAGGGAATTGGCAGCGAAGGAGGGCAGAGAAGAAATAAAAGAGTAGCAGGAAGAGAGAGGGGGGGTTGTTGAAGGTTATTTATTGGTTTTTTTCCCTCATTTTAATCCCATTTTGCGCTTCACTTTTAAGTCTACCAATGTATAGAAACAATGTCGGATGCACTGTCTAATCCCGTTTGGGCCATGAAGCTCACTCCACACTGACAGTAATGACTTTCATTTCCTCTGCCGCTCACACCAAAGCACCATGCAGACACTTCACAGGATGGACGCCACTGTTCTGCCATGCTCGACAGGACAGCTATCTGGCTCTGAGTCAGTCTTAACCTGGACCCTGGGCTCCCTGACTCATCCTTAATCCTTCACTTTAGCCCCATCTTCCTCTTTCATGACTCAGGACCGCAGGGTTCTCAGGCTGGTTAGGTGATTAACTTGCTCGTCCGTTCAACAGATGCCAGATTTGTATCTCTTTACCCCGTTTCCTGTTCCTCCATTAGAGGGGGTGTGACATATCAACAAGGTGAGCACCATGGCAACACAGAGACATGCTCCGATGAGAGCAGACACCTCAGAAACTGTCTCACTTGACACGTATTATTGACAAGTATGTTTATCACATTCAGACAAAAACCATTTCCACAGGAATGCAGTCTTATAATGCGGTTTTCATGGTGTAGGTTGTGCGCTGAATCGTAAAGATTTGAGTTGTAAAAGCTCAGTATATTTGAGGCAGCTTCTTTAAAGAGCTGTTTGTTTATGGCAGCAAGTATAAAGACTTTATGTGTGACAGTCACACTGGTTGTCACAATGTCAGGGCCACATCTGCCAATCATTAGTTTAATGACCTGAGGAAGTTTGGCACATGTTACACCTTACAATATCATAGCTGTTTCCAAATGTCCAAGTTCAAAAATACCTCGATCCACCGTTTTTTTTCCAGATTTGTGCCAAAATGTAAGGAGTTCTTTCTTGGCCCATGTCCCATCCTTCCACCAAGATTAGTAGAAATCCATTCTGCAGTTTTTGCAAAATCCTGCTGACAAACCAGCCAACCAACACACCAAAAGGGGGGAAAGAGAAAATCTCTGACTGACAGTAGTGATACAGATAGACAGGACTAAAGGAGATATATGCATTTTAAACTTTGCCTGCATTGGTAGAGATGTTGCCGTTCTGTGCTCACCAATGATCCCTTTAGGTGCAAGAACTCTAGTAAAATAAGGAAAGAATCTGTGAGAGATCAAAATAAAGTGCATGACGGCAGAGCTACCAGACACTCAGACAGAGACATAGGGCATGCGATAAAGACAAACCTCCCACACTGTCTTAACTGCATGGTCCTCTGTCCCTCTGCTCATCCCACACTATCAGCTCAGACAGCAGATTCATGGCACAGTCGCATAAACACAACCTGCTGTGCCCTCTTCTCTGAGGCCATATAGCCTCTAACACGCAGCTGCATATCCTTTTCATAGCTCTTGTTGCGTTTGAGTGACAGGGTCGGGGAAAAAAGGAAAAATCATTGCCATAAATACCGTTATGAACAAAGAGAGAACGATACAAGCGAGGAGAGAGGCAAAGATGGAAGAGGCAGAAAACACGATGGAAGACAGAAAAAATAGCCTAAGCGAAATGCGTAGTGTGTGAAGTGTTGACGATAAACAGGTTTATTTATGCAAGCGGCGTACAGCAGCCAAACACAGGCCTCCTAGGGTCTGACTCCAAATACTGCTCTATAAAAAGATTCAGTGACACAGCTCACGCACACGCACGCACACAAACGTACAATGACTTTGTCAATCACACGCCGATGTACAGTCAATCCCAGAGGCCCGTCACAAGAGCTCAGAGTGAGACACGTCACATGTGTAAATCTCGTAAGCGGCAGAGAAGCGAGGCAGTGAATGACCTCGAATCACCCTACGTATTCTACAGTTTATTGCAAACGACTCCCGCTCTTTGAATTCATGTCCTCATAAAAGGCAGACGACATCTTACAGGAATAAAATACTAAAAACTAAAAACCGTCTCTGAATGAAGCGAGAAAGAGAGACCCCATTTTCCTGTTGCTGTACAGTCGATTCAGTGTCATGCAGAAGTTTTTTGTGTGCACTGGATTTTAAACAGGCCTTTGTGCACTCAAGTCATGTAAACTGCTCATTAGCCAATGACACATTAAAGCCTCCAGCTCAGGCAAACACATGAGATCACCCAAAGTTAACATGAGTAAGTGTTATGCACCAGCACAAAGTACGAGTGCGGAGTAAGAATATGGTGGACGAGTGGAAACCTTGGGAGTTTCCTGACTGCCCTTTACTGTTGTCACACAACAGTCCACTGTCTGATGTGGAGATAACTGAGAGGAAGCGAGGGCTTTGATCCTTAATGGGGCAGAGTCGGCCGTGTGGAAATGACATTCATGCCTTGTATTTACACAAGCACAATTATGGAGGTTATTTTGGTAGTAGACAATCAATTAGAGCGAAACTAGTCAGGGTAATAACACAGATTAAAGGAGAGGTTATGGCTGTAGCATGCTTGGGTGTAAATGAGCAGCAGGCCCGAGTACACATTAACCTTTGTTTCTACAGAATCAGCAGCTCCATAGAAAACTAGTCTGAGGGACTGTGTGCTTTATACAAAGCGTTTGTTGGATCATCTGCAGTATCTTCCCGGTGGAGGGAACTGGTGAGGCTGTATCCAACAGTGTGCGATGAACGATTTTATACGATGTGAGATCTCATGTGAAGGTTGATAAATACCAGGTGTATCAGCTGATGGCTCAATTAGGGCTGAACTGTCAGAACAGCAACACACATCAGTGCTTAACGCTCTTAGTGACTACATTTACATGGACCCCACTTTTGACCTAATTCAGAATGAGACATTACTTCGCCTGTAATACATGAGTTGCTGATAGACTACATTCATATTCCTGTTTACATGTCACAGAGCATCAGTAAATGTCAACCACTGTCAACCACTGTGCAAACTTTTAGACCACAACAAAAAAAATCTTTTCCTTTATCTCTGTCGCTAAATTACTGACATTTTCAGTTTCATTCCAGACATAACTAGAATTCTGCTGAATATTGAAACAATCTGTGAAAATAAGAAATCAGCCTGCAGCCCTGGTGTTTATCAGCTGTTGTTCATGTCACCTCTTCCTGCTGCAGGAGTCGGATTTAAAGCAAGACTGTATGTGTTCTTTGGGAGTTACACAAACTTTATCCTGATCTCTACGACTTACTCGGCCGAGATTACAAGACGGACCTGCTGGAGACTGATCAGAGAGGCTGAGGGATGCAGCTCGGAGGAGGCAGGCTCTTCAGAGCAGATTTTAGGACTTTTGTCTTCAGACAGTGAGTTTAAAGCATGAGGACATTGCTGACACAAGAATCACATGTATAATGTTATGTTGCAATAGTTATGAAGCCTCTGCGTTCATCTTCCAGAAACAACAGACTTTTCTAAGGCTTTGTGCTGAAAGACAAAATTCCTGTTTCTCAGATGTCAGTCTGACTGTGCTCTCTCCTTTCGTCTCTCGTTTTTTTTTGTTCTTCTCCCTCTCTCTGTGCCTGGGCAGCAGAATCAGCACATCAAATAAATACAGAGAAGGCTATAGTGTTTCGTTTGGAGACAGCGAAACAGGTCACGGACAATGGGAACACATGGAAATGCGTGAACTGCGGGTATAAAATAAGAGAAAGCAATTCCAGTGAAAGTTAAGTGTAAGGGCCTCTTTGAAATCAAATCCGATTTTGGAATTTAATAACAGTTCCAAACTGTTTTCCAGTTCCTTTTTGAAATGATCAGTATTCGAGGCCATGCATTCCTCACCTACCAGAGACACACAAATACCAGTGGATGAGGGCTCATTATTCATCCCATTCTTGGTCCACCAAATGTTATTATCGTCATAAAACCCCCTCACTCCTGGAGGAGCCTTAGACACACTCACCCTTGTCAGTTTATGAGGTAAATCAAGCTAAAACTAACACAGTCTAATGCAACAGTGCTGCAATAAATCATCTCTTCATGAAGGTCAGAGTTTTCAGTTTTTATTCAAACTGTGCTAAAGGTGTTGATCCAACGGTGCTTTGAACTGTGTTCCATTTTATGTAGAGTTGTCTGTTAGCTGTGTCTCAATTCAAGGGCTGCATCCTTCAGAGGACGAGGTCTCGTCGGCCCACGAAGTCCACCTCCAGTTCAACTCTGACAACACGTCTGGACACTAAAATGGGATGAACGTGGCTGGGACGCTTTAATTTAATTCAAATAATTTGACAAAATACAGTAAATTAATTGAGAAACAAGCTAACGTGATGTTAGCTGGCAATATAACATGCTAACTTGATATTTTTAAGATCAACATGCATTGTCTTTGCTGTGGCGTTGTTGATCTGAAAAAAACAAAAACAGAGCTAGCATGTTATATAGCATTTATCAAATTTCCCAACAACACTGAGTTCAATTCAACTTCCAACAACAATGGTGTCCGAGCAATGTTCAATACTTTTTAGTATTCCCCTGGATACACCTCTGTTGCAGTGCATTTTATTGTGTTGTGAGTATTCGCAGCATGTTTTCTATTTGCCGTGCATGCTTTATCGAGTTGATGAAGACGTTTTCTCCATTTGCACGTTTCGCATCCATTTGCATGTGTTTTCTAAAGTTGCCGTGCGTTGAGCTGTCAGGGCCACTGTAGAAACATCACACATGCATTTCAAAAGCATCATGAACTACATCATGTAAAATGATCAGTTGAATTAACATATGATAGTTTAAACCAACAGTGAACAATGAAACTGCCACAAATACAGTTTCTACTGCACAACTGTTGTTTTGGACTACATTAGGTGTCAAGGTGTTCCTAATAAACTGATAAATGAGTGTACAGTGGCCATTTCATGAACTCCAGTGTCTGATTGATTCAGCTCTGGTTTGAGTGGAGCCGTTGGTAAAACACAAAGTGGTGGCAGAGGCAGAACCAGCAGGGCCAAGGACTGTAGTGTTTGGCCAGAGGTTCAAGCAATATAGTCACAGCGCTCTTTATCTGAACCACAAACCCCCAACTACTATTTACAGTTCAAATGAGGGCTGGGGCAGAACGGCGATGCTAAATACTGATGGGGGTGATGGGAATTCAAGGTCTTTGACTTTGTGTTGAGTTACGCAGCTAATCTTGGTTAACGTGCATGATGTGGTCGTATAAAAACAAGGGCAACACAGTGAGCTCCCTTATTAAGGGATTAATTATGAGGTATTTTAGGCATGAAATCACATGCAAAATAAAAGAAACGCATGACAACAGAAAATGATGAAAAAGTTGTTTATTAAAATGATGCATTTTGGTGTGAATATGGTAAATGATGCTGTCTATTAAATATCAACAGTATCAGTAATAAAATAGAACAGAACAAAGAAACGAGTTGAGAACATAAAAAATATTATTTTTACAAAAATACAAAGCAAAAGTAAAACAGGACAATGAATAAATAGCTCATATGTTAAAAAGTATGGGAGTTAACAGCATGTCACACTTAAACATGACCAGGTCCAGGGGGATGACAGGTGTGTAAAAAACTTTATCAGTTAAAAGACTTGAACAGTCAATGATGCTCACACCTGATTGGACGTCTTCTCCTTCATGTTCCTTCGTAGGGGGAGGCTGTGGTTACACCATCATTACCTGAAACAAGTTGAGTTATTCCACTGTTTAAGCACTGAACCAACTTAGTTCTACAGATAAACAAATTTAGACCAACTCTATTTGACTGATTTTGAGATTTCCACTCACTTTATGTTCAGAGGTAGAAATAGCTGGTTATTAATGTGATGACTGACAGTGTTAACAGACGTGTGCAGTGATGTGAGCGGCAGCTTCATTTGACGGAGCTTCTCATCACTGCACATGTTTAGATGCTTTTAAAAAAAGACAGAAATGGCTCTTACAGTGTGATGGAAACGAGGCAAATCAAACAGGACTGGAACCCGTGAGAGTCAGACTTCACTGATGTAAGTAACACATGGTAGACTATAAGTTTATTGTCAATTCTGGATGTTCATACTCATCTGTTTGCTACAGTGGCCTTTAAGTGCAAATAAAAAAACCAGCAAAAATCAAACCTGCCTTTGTGATTTGTCACAGTAGTTTGCACTGTCAGAGGTACACTTGCAAGGCATTGAGGGATTCACATATATGAACAGTACAGAAGTACAAACGTCCACATGAACTCTGTACAGGCGTGTTTGCACACATGTTTCTATACAATCTAAACAACCATGCTAACCTCCTGCTGCGACAGGCATCCAGGTCTTCCTGTAGCAAAGACGCTCTCTTCTGAAGGAAGTTAACCTGCAACACAGACACATAATGCAAAATGAAGCACTGAGGAATTGTTTTGAATCTGATTACACAAGTAGGAAGAAGGAAACCAGTGCATCAGAAATATAGAACTGGGATGTGGAGAAGGAATGATGGCTTTACGTCAATTGTGCCGTTGGGTGCAGGGGGTTAGCTCAGAAGAGGAAGGTGAAAGAAAGACTTAGTTGTTGAGTCCAGGGGTCAGGACAACAGGGGTTGGGGGTCAGGAGATTAGGTCAGAGGGGTTGAGGCACAGAGGGACAGAGGGGAGATTATGAGCCAGGTTAGTCGAGGTTAGGAGGCTGCGAGAGGAGGCAGCACCATTCTTTTTCTGGGGGGGCTACAAAGCTACAAAGTTTATTTATGAAGTGTCTTTGGCTGACGTGAAAATAAACCCCATCTACATTTACACGGCATCTCCAGCCTGGCAGCGTTATCACGGACCCAAAAGAATCTGTATTGTTCTGAGACTACCGTACTGGAGCCGAGGGTGCATTCCTTTCTGTGGGGGAGACCTCAGGAAAGTTCTAGCATTTCATTTGGCACTTCACAGTCAAGTAAATGCAAAACCCCACCGAAATGTGGTCGGACGCCCGAGACACCGAGAAAAATAATGCACTTTCATGTGCAAAACCCAAGAAATTGTCAACGAGAGGAGCGACCACTCTTGTCATTAATTTCATCTTATAAACATATTTGATCACGGAGCTGTGGTATGTGCACTGAAACAGGATCTTAGCAGATCTATTAGAACGAGGCAGGGGTTCATGATGAGCCCATTTAACAAAACCTTGTACCACCGTTACAGAAAACCCTCTTTTGTTTATAGTAGAAATGCTGAGAAAATGAAAGCCCTTTATTGAAATTCATTGTCAAAGTGGGTCCGATGAAGAAAGACACATGGCTCCGAGGAACAACCTGGCGAGATGAGTGTGGTTTTGCAGGGGGTGATTTTGTGATCTGATGGAGAGACAAGTAGAGATTAAAGTTTATAAAGAGGATTGGCAGGGAGACGGGAGCGAAGGCTGTGATCGAGTGTTTCACCAAAACCAATACCAAAGATATCTTTAGTCTCCAAACAAATAACTCTCGTCCGGGTTATGTTTCCGCCAGTTCGGTTGATTAATAGCAGGGGGAAGTGAAAGATAACTTTAAAAAGAGAGGGAAGCAAGATTCCAGAACTGAAAGAAGCCTTTCTACCTCACATGGCCACAAACTGTCAATTGTCAAAGACTTTGACAATCTATCCAATCTACATTATCCAATGTTATGGCAGCTTGTAGTTAAAATAACATTTGAGATTTATTTTGGTAATTATTATTTAGGTTCCTTTCTGGTCTACTGAGGCGCCGCCCCTCACCTGAATAGGAACATTTTCCTATTGTGAATGTGTCTGACCCGTACAGTCTTCTGCTGAGTTACTTCATTTGTGAAAGGCTCAAAGTCAAACTCCGTAAAATGTCCGGACATTCATGTCTTAACACAGCTATGGTCAGATTTCAAGTTGTAGCAGTTTGGTCTCTATTGAAGACACGTTTCACTGGTTGAGTGCACTTAGACACAGAGAGAATTAAGACTGAGTTGTGTGCTAATATCTGATGGTTCGTACATACCGTATATCAAACTGCATTTGTATGAAGTACATACAGTGAATGGACAGTGTTTTAGGTAAACCCAAGAAAAGTTGAAAGTAAGTAAAAATTAGGAAGGAATGTTTCATATTTTCACTAGATTGATAGTGCTGCATGCTTCTTCTCGTTCTGCCTGTATCTGATTTATATTTTTTGTAAGCAGTCTGTTCTCACCTGAGCTTTGAGAGAGGTGATGGTGTCCTCCAGTTCCTGTCGGAGCTCTACTGGCATCAAGCCTTTGAGCTTCTCCTGATACTCCTGACGCACCATGGTCACCTGAGAAGACAGAGGGACAACAACCAAGCAGAGTCAGTTAACTTAGAAGAACAACTCACAAAATACAATTCATAACTCCAGATCGCACACATCAAATGTATACGTCTGTGTCATCCATGCACGTATACAAACAAATACAAACTGTCAAGCAAATGAATAACTCTAATCAATTAAATCAGTGCTTCAATATATCAGTAATCAGTGGATATTGTTGCTGAGTGTCTCTGCTGCCCCTTCACATCCACACTCACACATGTACTTTCAAAGGCGGCAAACAAATGAACAGCTCCTTTGGAGGAGGCACACTCACTCACACCAGACAGTGGGTATCCCCTCTTTATTCATGGCTCAGAGTATTCCCTCGCTCTTCATAGCTCCTTCACATCTCCACAGGGGGTTCGCAGACCGGCACGACTCTCTCTGCACAACACCCCCTACTGGCTGCTAATGACTGCAGCCAGATCTGACACAATGCATTTATGGGCTCGACACAGCTGGGTTTAGAAGAGGACAGGGCCACGGTGGAGGGCAGGACACATCAAACACAGCAGCAGCTCAACAGCTCGCTAGCTCCACTGGGGAGGACCGGAGGAAGTCTGTCTGGGGCTAAATTACACTCCACTAAACCAAAGTCTGATTATAGAAGTTGAAAAGGATTTGGTTAGCGCAGCCCCCCCTTTCACCCACAAACACACATGAATGGATGCGCAGGCGCACACACACAAACGCACACGCACGCACCACCAACACAGAGGCCTGTCTCCATGACTTCAGAGGACATTACATTGCCTTACATTCATTGACTGGAGACTTGTACTAATGTTAACTAATACTAACCTTACACACACCCTAAAACTTTAACCTTAACCTAACCATACTCCAACCTTTAAACATAACCTCACCTTAAAATGTATTGATTTACATTATGATGACTTGCTTTTTGTTGCATAAGGAGAATAAGTCCCCATAATATTGTGACTGAATACAAAGTTGTAGGTCCCCATAACTAAAACTTAGATCGCACACACGTTTGCACAACTTTTATTATTAGGACTTTGGATTGAAGTCCATTCATTGTGGACAGCCTAACCAAAACCTTATCCCTAACTTTAACCATGACCAACTTATGTGCAACCCTAAACTTAACCTAGCTACGATTCACATCTTAATCAAGGCGTAAATCCAAGGGGTCTACTAGTCCTGGCGAGGTCAGTGCTGGAAAAGATCCTAAAGAGGAAACAAAAAACGAATACAGGCTGAAAAAGAGTTGCTGACTCAATTAATTCTGAGTTTGATGAATAGTTTAACAGACCTGGACGAATCAACGGGGGCTGCGAAAAGCAACGGCTTTCACCCTCATATTTCAAGGTGTAACCAGGGTAGATTCCGAGCATTGTAACTGACCATAATGTGTTTGACAGAAAGTCCAGCTAACATCAAGAATATCCCCACGCTCCCCCAGCTCTCATCAGCCCCCGTCTTTAAAGCGAAGGGTCTGTGAATGTGGTGAGGAGGAGGGAGAATGACAGGTTTTCTTAAAATAATTTTCCTGTTGTGGATTTAACTGATTGTTCTGGCTTTGGCTAATTAATCTTCCTGGGCACAATGAAAGGGGAATCGGGAAGCACTTCAAAGCAAGGCTCAGTATAAATGATCCCAACATGAAGCAGCTCACTTTGTGTCGGCACAGTGTGCAGCAGATTACTCTCCCACAACTTTGCCAAATTTTTATCAGGCTCTTTCTGCCCTGCCAGGTCAATAACACAGGTTTACAGAAATACGTACTTTACTCGCTGTGTGAGAATAAAGTCAAGGATAATTTGAGAGTGACTTTTTCAAACAAGTGGCAAAAAAAAAAAAGGTTTTCAGAAGCTTTAATTTAAATGTCCAGGAGTTAAAAAATGAGCTGAAGCTACAGGACTGCAGATTTTCGAAACGTCTATCTCTATCTATAGCAGCTTCTGTAGTCATAACAAAATGGCTAGCCAAGACAAAACACACTCCACTACCTCAGACCAAAGCAATAAACAATGGTTGAATAAACACATCCCTTACCAACCACTCTGAATATAAGTCTTAGATTCTTCAAAAGCCAAGCTTCTTAGTTTTGCATTCTTGGTTCATGTATGGTGCAGTCACCGCAGCAATGAGAGATCCGCTCTGCCTAAATTACAAGCTCCTTTGTGGCGATGCTGTCTCCATTTTCCTTCCCATACATTAGAATGGGCAAGGCTACAGCGGCGTATTCACCGGGACTCACGGAGAGCAACGGGGACGTCTGGATACTGTACATACAAGTGTTCAGCTGATCAAACTGGACAAGCCATGAACGTTTGCTTTAACATCGGCAGTAAGAGAAACCATGAGCTAATGTACTGAGTGATACAATAAGGTTGTGTACCTGGCATCTGTCCTAACGACTTCATCGACGTGACCAACCATTCAGACAGGAAAGTATTATACAATTCCCCTTGTATTGCATAGTAAAAGTAGTATAGTTAGCAGTTAGCATTGCTTTTGTATTATTGCATCACCCATAATATATGGGCAAATCCATACGTATATATTATTAAGCATGTGATATAGATCTCTGCTCTTGCTGCAAAGTCGTAGACCAAAGAATTTGCAATCACATCTTTCCCCAGCATGTCTAACTAAATCTCTGCCATAGTTTACTATGCAGTGTGTGTGGGTGGAAGCAGCAGCCTTTTTCTGTAACAACACCTCTGTTGTGGAAACGTATGCAAGGCTAACAGACACAGGAAAAGAGCAGAAGAAGACAAGGTAATGCACCTATTCAAAATTTCTGACTATGCTGTCGCTCTCTTTCAGTGGTGTTTAAACACTGGAGCATCTCTTAAACTCCCCAAAGATGTCTGACTCGTTCCCTGAGAGACATGTTTCGCCTCCTCTTTGTCCCTTCCAAAGTCCCTCCTCTCACATGTCTATTTTTCTCCAAGCAAACACACATTTTTCTCTTCAACATCTTTTTACAGCAAAGACATGTTTGTTTTTCTGACAGGTGGCAGGAGGCATGTGATGGCATCTGGGGGAAAAAAAGCCTCCTCACTATTAGGACAGATGTTGGACGCCTTTGAACAATACTGTTGATCAAGCCTTGCATGAGGTTTTGGTCATTGAAGGACTCCAGATGAGAGCGAGCACAAGAGAAAAGAGAGGAAGGGAAACACAGGGAAGAAAAGTGAGCTGCTATTTTTCAAAGCAATCAAAAGGGACTTTGACTTACTGGAGAAAAATCAGGTTTCATCTCCACAGCTCTTTTCAAAATGAGATTTTGTTTGTTCCTGATGAAGCAGGATTCTCTAGTATTGAAGACTGCAAGGAGCTGCAGTCGTTTTCCCCTCCCAGTTATCTTAAAGTGATAACATTTCATCTATATATAGTCTTTAGATTGTGGTTTTGACTTTCCCTTGCGTTTGGTACTGTCACATGGTGTGGTTTTTGACAGCTGCCAGCAGAAAAGAACAAGCTCTCAACACTTTCAACGTTCAAATGAAGTCTGTCACATTCTTGGGAAGCTTGATGTATGCTAATGAATTTTAGGTGTGTGTGTGTGTGTGTGTACAGGTTTGCGTGGGACGGTTTGTGGAGTTGGGGGATGAGTAGCTGCTGGAGAGCCATTTTTGATAAACCCCGTTGTTCCAAAGTGACAAAAACCTTGTCAGGAACAAGGGTGTACATCAAAAATGACGCCACTCATGAAGTTTGCACCGCCACATTCACAGAGTTGGCACTCCGAGAGTTCACCAAGAGGCGATTTTAATTCAAAAATGCTTTGCTTCCAGTGGGAGAAAAAAAGAGGCCGCTTCAGAAAAAAGGAGAGAAAAAAGGAAAAAGACAGGAGATTAGAAGCTGCTACAGATCTTAGGGAAGTTGTTAGAGATGGATTCGGAGCTGCTGATGTAATGTACCTCAACAAAAACAGCACAGGAAAAGGACTGATTCCACAGAACTTCAGTTCAACTCCTCTGCATCAATACTGAAAACAGCTGCAGAAATTATTTTTTTTATTCAACCGAGTTCCCATGTTACAGGAGGATACATCTTTAAAACGTGTACAGTTCACCGTGCTCGCTGTATCGTTACGTATTTATAAAAAGAGCTGTACATCCTGCATCTCTCCTCGAGGAGAACTGAGCCTCACAGTGAGCTAGCGAGCTGCCATTTTAAAATAAGGGAACCTGCGAGCGCCCTGCAAACCCCTCAACCCCTGTTCTTCAAAAAACCCACTAACATTGGGCTATTGTCTGTAATGGGGATGGGTTCAATCTGACACAGGTTTTAATTGGCTGCGGCTCTGATTGGCACTGAAGGTGAACGCACTAATTTGGCAAGACATTGAGGTGAGAGAGCGCCTCAGTTGTTTGTGAGTTTGAACATTGCACAATGGGGGGAAAAAACCGAAAGGCAAACTCCTCTACTGGCAATGGGAAGGATTAAATCGCCTTTTTTAAGTAGGTTTACCCACGTTGAAAGAACCTGCGTATATTTGCTAATTGTGGTTTGAAGGAGGAATCAAACTGGAGAAAAAAACCCACCGACACCCACTAACATCGAACTTTCGTCTTCCCGGGCCAAATGACTGCAGGATTGGACAGCGTGCAGCCCTGAAATAACTTTGTATAAGGAATTCGGTGTTTTTTTTCCAAACAAATGTAAGATAATGAACAGGATGTGACTTTTTTTCAATCTGAATTGGGGAGTTAAATTGTTACACTGTTTTTCTACAATTTTTATTTGACATTCTTGAGTGTAATGTTAACTACAGTGCATTAGCATCAGTGATTCTGCAGCTTGATTCCAAGTGAGGTCAACTATATCTTTGTCCCACAAATGCTTCTTCTCTGGTTGCCAGAATTTCCTGAGGAGCTTTGCCTATTAATATTTCTTAAGGATAATGAGATGAAAAGGTTGGTGGATTTTGTCAAGATGCCCCCCCCAACAGCGAGTTGTTTTCTCGTAGGTTTGATGTTTTCCATGACATTTTTATGATGAATATTCATATGTGTTATGCTCATGTGGAAGTGACGAGGCTCAAGTGTTTCCCAGAAGCTGTCCGTCCTACAAGAGACAGCGTTTATCTGGGCGAGTCAATTTAAACATCTCCTCTTCCACTGCCTCTTCTTACTGTGATGAAGTCACACTTGATGTCAAACCGTTACCTGCTGCACCTCATTAAAAGCTCTTACTTTAACTGTGTGCGTCACATCTCCAGTCTCACATGTCCTGTCTGTTCAGGCAGCGGTTTCAGCTTTGACTTCACTGAGATTCCTTCATTCTTATCCCACCATGACTCGCTTCCTGCTTATTTTGTCACGACAACACACTCTGCTATAAATTAGCGAGATGTGTTTGTGGCAGAGAATCAAGAACTGTCAAGTATCTAAAATTGGTACCAAATGCTTAGTCAGATTCTTGTTTACTGATTCTTTGCTTCAACATATCGTCTGGTTTAAATTATAATGTTGCTGATTTTATACCAGAAAGAAGCATCTTTGGTATCTGTATGAAAAAATCCTGATGGCAGAATAAAAAAAGATCAGCCATACAAGACTAAGATACACGCATCACAAATACTGGTGGTTCTTTAATTGAACTTATTTTTCAGTTATGGCAAAATCTACATCATCAAGGGCCAAGTTTATTTAAAACCTTCACAATCTGGAATAAGAAACCTCTTTCACGAGGGCAGAGAGTCTGCAGTAAATCGTAAGATGCTGAAAATTATCTTGAAAGATCCAGATTTTTTTCTTATTTTTTGTCATTTGCTCAAACACAAGAAGAGATTATACCATACTGCATGAAAATAATCTGCTATGGTAGTCGACACATCAAAGAGCAGGCATATAAAAGAGCATGCACATTTCTTTTAACGATCCTTACATTTCCACCACATGGCACACTGCTGTGCAAAAATCTTTATTAAATCAAGGGATTTGTTGCAATTGTTCATGCCTTTGTGTGAGTGAATAACTCAACATAAATCCAAAGCCTAAAAAGAGAAATCTAAATCCGCATACTGATAAAAAGATCTGATGTCATAGAAGTTAGGGTCAGGGCTCAGCTCTTCCTAAGGCCACTGTTGAAGCTCAATTCCGCCTCAATCGTATTCCCTTACTGACACATACATGGTCTTGTAGTTATAACTCTTCTTTGCCCCTGTAGACTAGCGGCCACACAGACAAATTTATACAGATACAAAAAATTGCGGGGTACAAGGACACCTGCAAGAGCCTTGCATAGAGTCATATGTTCAGATAGGGTCCACATACCCTATGTGCCCTGATAATATCTGAATAAGAAGAACTTTGTGTTGGTGGTGTCCGCAGCCGTCCATGTGTGCATTCGCGAGGGAGTGAAATTGAGGATTAAGTCGCAGGAAACGGTGTGCAGCGTCTTTGGGACTGGGTCAGTGACCAACAGCTCCTAAAAACCACTGACCCTTTCCTGCAGATTTATGACGGCCAGACACTGAGGTGTGTGACGAGTGTGTGAAGTGTGTACAAGGGTCAGTAGGCGGATCAGAGTGGACACGGGAATGAATGCCTATGGTGTACATACCAGGGTACAAAGAAGAGGCTCCTGTGTGAGTGTATTCATTAGTGCTTTCTTCTCTGTGTGTGTCAAGGTCAAAACAGAGCCTGATTACAGGGCATTCTGGAGAGCCATGGGGAGTGTGTGTGCATACAGAGGGTTCCCTCTGAACATAGGCGGTGGTGGCATTCCTGGCCCTAGGCGCTGGCTCTTGAAGCCAAATCTCAAGGAATTTGGGAAATGTGCGAGGGGGCATATCTCTGGCTCTGAACAGGAGAATGAGATATGGCAGAGTGATGAGGGGAGGGAAGAAACGTAGAAGAAGAATCTATTTTGTTTGTATTTTGTGGCCCCCTGGAGGGTCTAGTAAGGACAGCAACTAAGGGGTGAGGGGCGTGGGACAACAGGTGTCGAGGGTGTTGAAGAGTTCAGTTGAGGTATTCGAGAATCCAAAAAAAGGAAGCCGGAATTAATAAGAAAAATTCCTATAGATGATGTGTGCGAGCAAGAAGCAAAAAGAAGTGTGACGAAAAGGCTGAGGGCAACGAATGGAAAAAAGTTCATGTTGGGCAAGCGAGGTGATGCAACGCTAATGGTGAGGAGCAAATGAGTTTGAGTGAGAGGCAGTCTGCCTCTCTTGTACAACCATGAAAATGAGAGAGAGAGATGGAGGGGGGACAGAGTGAGCGTCTTACCTTCTCTTCAGTCTCCAGCTCTTTGCTAAGCAGCTTCTTCTCTGAGCAGTGCAGCTGCCTCAGAAGACTTTCCACCTTTTCCTGCAGAGCCTGGGGAAAGGGAGAGAGAGGCAGTGTTGTCAGCTGACCAACGGGAAAAAAAGCAACTCGAGATCTGTGTGGTGTAATTGACCCAAAGTGTTATAAACACACCTAAAGTTTCATTTGCACAGGGAAGACACTTGACTCAGGATGAGAGACTGATCCAAACCATGCAAAAAAACAAGATGAGAAGAAATTCCAGACACAAATAGAGGATCAGTGAGGAGAGATGCAGACTGTGATTAGTTATCATGTGTTAAAGGGCTAATAATAAAATCATGATAGAAATTACTGGGGAGCATCCCTTATTAGGACCAAACTTAATTTTAGACACACAAGACTTTCTGACTCATGGAATTAATAAAAACGTCCTTTGCTTTTGTGAAGGAGCATTTCTTTAAGGATAATTTCTTTGAAATACAAAAAGACATCCCTTTTCATTTAGTGGATAAGGACCCTTTTTTATGTGGACCACTACCTTAGTTGATAAAATTCCCAGCCATGGAGGCAGAAGAAAACATAGCTTTACAAGATTCAGGCAAGAAAGAAGGAAAGAATGAAAGAAAAGAACTGAAAAACGAAAAAGAAAGTGCACTGTGGGTGTTTGTGTGTGTTTGCAAGGCAGTTTTTCCCTCTCTGCCCGTAAGTGATAGCAGTGGAAAGAAACTAGCAGTTCCTGTGTGTGACACAGAGCCAGATGTTTTGAGTGCACATGTGGACACTTCGTTTTTGATTAGTCTGCATGAAAAGCAGAGAGATATATGCACAGACACACACATACACCTTATCATAAAAACACAGACATTCATTCCAACTTCCACACACACGCAACCACCACCAAGTGTCAGGGCCACTGTCTAGCATCAAAATCCTCAGTGTTTCTCCCCAATGGAGTTGATTGAGGAGTCCAGGTGTTGCCTTGTTGATTCTCAGAGCTGAAGGAAACCCAGTCCAGGTGACAGCCATGACCGCCTGATCTACAACCCACTGTACTGAAATAAATCACACACTGAGTGTTAGGCTTCAGGGCCAGGATGAACTTCAGGGTTGCTTGAGCCTCTGACTAAAAGAGGAAGGAAGCGGCAACAGAAAAAGAAAACTGTTTAAACTGTTGTGGACAGTTAGATATTCAGTAGATATAGAGTTCGATACAGTAGATCATACATTATATTTCTCATTTTCTGACATTTAATCATTTTCTTTTAATAATTTTAAACACCTACATTGCACCTCAGGATGCATCTACCACCCAAACTGCACTGACACACGTAAATTCCCTTTTTGCTTGCAGTGATGGAATCCTCGATCAACACACATTACTGGACTGTTGTGATTCGGGAGCACGGTGAGGTCAGTTTCAGATCTGCAACATGAAAGGCAGCTGGTCTCCAGCATGCTGATCCTATTAATCAGGCTATTTCTCAGGCAGTCACGATCCCATTACAGCCCACATCTCCATCCAGTGCACCCCGTTGCCTTCGATTTCATCATTTCATTTTGTTTATTGGTGAATCAAAGGCTGTTGTGGAGCTCACACCATTTACACACGTTTGTAAATTGTAGTGGTCAAGCCGTGTGAGAGTGGGTTTTTTATCCTTCTTTTCTTTTGGAGTTTGTTTGTTTGGATCAAACGTTGGAGGCTTCAACCAACGCTTGTTCTCTTTGACTGGGGTGAAGATATGAATGACCAAACTGCATTGTGGTTGTGATGCGTCACGTTGCTTGCCCTGTGTACAACAGAAGTTATGGAGAGATCACATTTTCATGCCGCAACGGAAATGCGTAATGTGAAAGAGCTCAGCAGCTGGCTAACCTGGTGCATGGTTATCTGGTTGTGGATTTTATATCCTGTGTATTTCTCTTCACCATTACGCTGATAGCTAGCATGGCACGTTCATACTTCACAGTTTCACAGTAATTTGTGGCATCCACATACGGCTGTTACCAACTGCTTGAAGAAACGGTTCTACTTGACTCTGGGTTCCAGTGTAAACAAGTGGACGGACGAGATATCAACATGAATCATAATCAAGCTATGCTCTGTAAAATGTAAACAGGAATATGAATGGAATATCCTATTAGCAACTAATGTACACAACATAACCACAATAATGTATTTTTCAGACGAAGGTCAACAGTAGGACTATTGGCATCGATGCTAATGTAATGAGCGCCACAGAATGTGATCTACAGACTGTAAGGATTTTTGGGATAAATCTCAGATGTTGGGTATAATAAATAAAAATCATACAGCAATTAGCACACACCAACATTATACTGATGATAAAGATTATTTCTTGTTGAGTGTCTGTGCCATTACTTACATTTACCCTAATGTCATCTATTCTTTCAGACAGCAGCACAGCTAATGCAGAAGATGAGAGACCCCAGTAAACCAACCCTGACTTTCTAAACCACCGCTTCTGATTCACTGCATTGTGACACAGCCTTACTGGACCAGGTCTTCTGGGAAGCAAAGCTGACTTGGTGTGCCTCACTACTGACGTGTTCCTCTCTTTCATGTGGGTTCTGTATCTGATGTGCTCAAAACAACTCTGAGGAAAGGAGTTCAGCACTTGTCACTTCATTAATAGAAATATATGGGATGATTCTGCTGACGAATAAAAGCTCTTGGTGAGTCAGAAAGGACCATGGAAATATTTAGTCATTATCGCTGTCTGGCATGGTGTTCACATTACATTGTATTTAGGGCTGGGCTTATAGGCACACAGCAATAGATATGAGACCACGTCTGACAGACACAGATATCAATTAAAAATAAAAGACACAGCAGACAGGTGTTAACATCTCTCCAGTGCTGACCTGGAGGCAAACATCTCAAATGAAATAATTTGCACATTTCTATCGCTTGTAGCAATAATTTCTGAAATCATTTATAGGTGAATATAAGTAAGGACATTTGTATGAACAATTCTACAAAATAACTAAAAAGGACTTGTCGCACTCAGGTACCGGAGCTGTGGTTTGATGCCATTTAACCATTTACTTCCTGACTGTCTCACATTAACACAAAATCCAGGATGTTTCTATAGTATTGAGTGTGTAAAAGTGTGTGAAGGACTGTGTATAGAGGATCAAGCTTAAGTGTTCCCAGATGCTAAGGGTGATATGGTCTTTATCAGCCATGAAGACTGGGATCATTGAGAACAGGCCAGGAGGAGGGGGACATCAGATTTCCTTAGGGACAGATGAGGTGAGGGGGGGGTGAAGGATAATGGTCCATGAAGGAGAAAAATTAAACAAAATAGAAAGACAAAGGCCTGTGAAGATGAGACAGAAATATGACAATATCAGAAACTAAAGAAGAGAAAGTTCAGAAATAAGAGAATGAGCAACAGCAAGATACCGATGAGGAGGAGGAGGGGGAGGAGGAGGAGGAGAGGGACATGAAGGTGAAAGAAAACACATGGCCAGAGTGAAGAGATGGGGGCAGCAGTGCACCTCTGCTACACAGTCCCACAGTTGAGAGCTTCAAGGCCCCTCTCACCTCTCCATCAGCAATGTGCCTCTGCCTTTCATTCCAAAGTTTTGCTCAAAGGATAAGCGAGGCACACGCGCACACAAGCACCAACAAACACAACGCTCAGAGCGATCCATGCAGGTATAGGCATGCATTAATATTAACAGCAAAAGTTCTAAAAATGTGAGTGCTACACTCAGTCAAATGAGTGTGCGATTCTAGTGTATGCACACAAGCACACACACAGAGAGACACACCAATCCCTGAGTCATCTTTCCTGGGTGGTCCTCGTGCTCAGATAAGGGAAGCATGTTTCCCTAGGGTGAAGTTAAAGCAACAGAGGGCAGGAAAAAAAGCAAAGAAGCAAGACGGGAGGGTAGAGTGGGAGGAGGAAAAAAGGCCAGGGGCCTCTTTAAACTTGGTGTTTTGTTAGGAGCCGGGCTGCTCTTCATGTGCGGCGGGGCCTTCTATTTGCAGCGTGCTGTCAGAAGTTTCTCCCAAAGTCTGGATTAAAGAGATCCTCTAATGACACTGAGGCTGGACGACTTCAGACAGCAGCAAAAACCTCACACTGCACCGCCTCCAGCCAAGGACACACATGCACACATACACATACCAACACACACACTGACAAGCAAAGGGCTAAGAACAGATACATACACATGGGGCACAAAGCACATAGACATATAAGCAAAGACAAAGTATGTGGACTGCGCCCCCACACACACCAGCTTTAGTAGAACAAGGCGGAGTGTGTATGTATGTCTACTGATCTAATAGTAAATAATAAAGGAGGTGCTAACCTCAAGGAGAGATGGATGGCCAGAGAGATGAGCACAGACTCTCTTTTATCTGCACTTTTATCAAAGGATTGTGGGAAAGGTAAAAAAGTGAGTGTAAGAGAAGCTGGAGGAGGAGGAGGAGGAGGAGGAGGAGGAGGAGAGAGGTCTCCCTCCTGAGGTGTTAGAGAAGAGAAACTTTTGCTTTTGCTTTGCTGTCTGTCTGTCAGTATAGGAATAAAAAGACATGCTTTAGCAAGTCGACCAGGACAGCCCCTGTGAAAGATATCACTGATATTGGTATGAACTGACTTGCTTTCTGCACTTTGATGCTTTTCAACACTTTTCCCAGAGTTGATTCCAAACTGAAATGGGAAGATACTGCGATGTAGTTTAACTCCTGTGGATGGCAAAAAGAACAGTAATCTTGTCTCTTGCAGTGCGTGCACACATGGCAGCACAGTTATGGAGGCACCTTCGCTAGTACTCATGAAAATAGTAAGAAGACAATTGCTGCAGTAATGAAGACATGTTGCAACTGAGCTATGCCCACAGGGGGAACACACTGTTCTCTATCTTTCCGTCTCTGTCTCTTTCAGCTGCTGAGACCTAAAGTAGAAAGAGAATAGGAAACAACTCTGTAATGTGCACCATATGCCGAGTGTGCGTGTTTGTGTGAGGGCTTACATACATATATTCTGTTTATCAAATACTATATCGTTTAATTGATGCTAAGTTTAGCAAAGTTG